AGACCCAGGCCCGGTCTCACTACTGACAGGACAGGGCACAGCAAGGAGGGACAGGCGTGCATTGGCAGCCTCCCACCCAGCCCGGCCCCCTGGCACATTCGTCTGGACTGCATGCCCCATCCTGCTCCAGCCCAGCTGGCCTGCTGGCACGAGCGTGCGGGCATGCCTGCTCCTGCCGGTATCCTCGCCTGCACCGTGCAAATGTATTGGAGCAGCCTGCCACGAAGCCGCGGCCTCGAGATTGTGTTCAACACCGAGGCAGGGACAGAAACATGCATCGCCTTTCTGCAGCCGGCCGCGTCCCGGGCTAGTGGTCGCAGGCCAGGGGACTGGGCTGCACCCATTCCTAGGCAGTGTCCTCACACAGATCCCTGATACTTTGGTGCTCTTGCCTGGATGTGCCAGATAACCGCCTCTGCTAGCCCGAGAGCCGGCTCCCCACCTGGCTGCCGTGCTGGTCTCACTCCCACCATGTGATGGGAGCAAAAATCGGCCATCAAGACGCACGCAGACCCAGCTATGCAGAGCCCCACAGCTGCAGCAGTACAACTCTGGCCCCAAGACAGGTGTCACCGTCTGAGCAGGCACCGAAGAGATGCACTCATTGGCAATGGGGTTAGGGGCAGATGATGCCAGGGCTGCTCCCCTTCTGCCATTACTGGCCTGTCTCATGGTGCTCAGCCCCAGTCCCAACCTCCTGGACGGTGGATTGCATCTCCCATGGGGCTGGAGTTGGGAATCCACAGCACGAGCATGCACGGTTCCCTGTAGGGCGAGGGGGCATGCAGCCCCGAGGCCTGACCCCGTGGGATGCATCCTCCGTGCTTACAGAGGATGGGAGTGGAGGGCTCGGAGCTCCTGGCTGAGAGCATCTTGGAGAGGCTCCAGGAAAAGGCCCAGGCAGCTGGTCGCTTCCCCGTCCCCTTTGCCCCTGTGCAGCAAAGAAAGAGCAGGTATCTCCTGGCTGGGTATCAGGCAGTGGAGCCAGGGTCCATGCTGCAGCCCCCAGGTCTCTGCCAGGCCCAGGAGAAAGAGTCCCCACAGAGGGACAGCAGGCAGCAGAGATGCCCTCGCTCGAGGAGCCATAGGGAACTGCCAGCCCGGGCAGGGGAGGAAGAAAAGAGAAGACCCGGAGGCTGTGCAAATCTGTTGTGCAATCAGGGGCCTCAGTCTCCAGCAAAATGCAACAGAGCGATGCCAGCATGCTTCTGACCATGCCCCGGCAGCCTCCAGCCCCAGATGCCCTCTCTACCATGCAGCACCCCGATGAAGCAGCTCAGTGCACGCAACTGCACACCTGCCCCGGGCCCTGGCTCGCAGCCAGCCCGGCGTGCATGGCACACATGCCTCTGCTGGATCACACGCCTGCCCTGCAGCAAGAGTAGCGCGCAGGAGAGCTAACTCAGCATCTCTGCTCTGCAGCCTGGCTGCGTTCCCTCCTGGGCCGGACCCCACAGCAGAGCAGACACCTGGCACCACGTCAAGCCCCTCCCGGGCTGCCTGCCTGCCAGCAGACATCCTTGATACAGCCCTGTGCCCTTCTGGCTGGAAAAGGAGCATTAGGTAGGACCAGGCAAGGAGAAGGGGACATAAGTAAGAGGCAAGGAGAGATGCAAAGTCCAAAGAGTTTGCCCAGCTCGAGCCCCTGCTAGAGACTGAAAGGCCCAAGAGATGTTAGCCGTGCTCGGGAGTGTGTCTATCCCTTTAGGACATCCCTGCCTGCCTCAGGCCTGTGCCAGGGTGCCAAGGGAAGCTGCACCCCTAAACCAGCCATCCAGGGCAGGGCTCACGGGGGTCCCTACCTGATACTCCACCGGCACCTCCCCAACATCCCTGCCGTCCTTCTCCTCGGAGCCGAGCTCGGCCTGGCCGTTCTGGACCTCCTGCATGCTGCTGCCAGAGGACATGCTGCTGCTCTGAGATGACTCCTTGGAGTCCTCTTCCATGAAATCAAGGGTGGGAGCCCGGAGCGGCATGGTCATCCTCCTCCTAGCACTCCGCTGGGGAGAGCAGGGCGTGAGTGGCCAACGAAGAAGAAGGGGGAAGCAAGGCAAGCACCCAGGGTAGGAAGGCAACCCCATGCTGTGATGCAGCACCCCTGCAAGCACCTTGCACACCATGCTTCCAGGCTGGGACTCAGAGCCAGCATGGACGGGGCAGGGAGGGGTGGGAGCAAGGAAAGGCAGCATGCACAAGCCGCTGGCCCCTGCAAGAAGGGGAGCAGAGTGGGCTCAACTCCCGCAACAGCAGGCCTCTGCGGGCTGGGACTGGTCAGCCTGGGTCCCAGCCCAGCGCTCCAGCCCTGGCTCAGGCTGCTTCCATTGCAAACCTGCATCCAAGACAGCCCCCCACAGCCCCTTACCCTGCAGGGAACCTCCCTGTCGCTCTCCAGGTCGCTCTCTCTGTGCTTCATCTCCTGGGAATTCAGTCCTGCCTGGAAGATGATGCGGGGAGGGGGCCTCTGGCGCAGGCTGGTTTCCCAGCCAGCCATGCCGCGCTGTCGCACCTGCAGCCCAGAGAGAAGAAGCTGCGGTCAGGGCCTTCGCTGCCAGCCCTACACGGGGTCACCGCAGCTTGTCCCAGGAGGCAGCATGGTCCAGGGTGTGGGGCGCGCAACCGGAAGCACAGGAGAGGAAGGAATGGGTAAGGGGGAATAGGGAGAGTGAAAAAATGGCAAAGAGCAGCTCCACCATCTCTATTACAGCACGGCTGCAGTGACACAAAAGCGTCATTTGATCACCCAGAACATGAAACCAAAGGTGGTCGTGACCGCCGGTCCTGTGGGCAAGGCACCAGCTCTACCGCCAGCATGACTATACACTGCAAAACGTGGCCCCAATGCCGATGCCTTAGCCTCGAGACCAGTGATGACCCTGATCTTGCTTCAAGGGGCTACAGCAAAGCAACCGATGGCAGTGGGTCTCGGTCACTGGAAGTTTAAGGGCAGGGGAGGCAGAGCATCTGCATCTGGGGAAGAAAGCTGTTCTTCTGCATTCCTCTCTCTCGACCTGCTCCATGTGCTAGGCATGGCCAGCACAGCACCTGATTCTGCAGGAGCTCCCAGGGCAACCTTCCCCGGGCACACCACCAGCCGTGCACCCTGCATGCGGTGCAACAGCGCCGGGTGTTAGCTAGAGCTAGAGCACGAAAGCTGGTGGCCAGACACATCTCCACATTCATCTTCACACTTGGAGCAAAAGGCAAAAGTCAGTCACGCCCATTAAATTGCTCTTGCAACCGGTTTTCAGCCCATGTCTGCAGTACAGCCTGCTGGAAAACTCTCAGGACAGTTTTGTGATGAAAAATCCTGGTTAAGGGAAACCAGCATTTTCAAGAGATCATAATATTCTATTAAATGCAAATATATTACAATGTTTTAATTGCCAATTAAATTATATATTATGCAAATATAGAATATTACATTTTCAATTTACAATGTAGTTTTTAAATGGAACAAATTTCATTTCGGAAACCCCTCTTTTAAGGGAAGGGAGGAATCAAAACCTTGCTTTAAACTGTCAAAATAAAAAAATAATAATGTCTTCAATTATTTAAAAATAAAATCAGTATAATTTGCTCTCCTATTAACATTTTACCTGGCTGATGATTTCATATTAAGCACCACCACTGCTGACGTGTCATAACAGTTGAAATAATCTGTTCCTTTATTTATTTTTTTTAAAGTCGTTAAGTCACAGCTGTTCTTAGTGTTACAGGAAAAAAAATCTTCCCTCATTTTCTAGATCAAAGTGTCTCTGGTTGGTGTTAGAATGAATCTGTTTGACACTTTGAACAAGAAAAGGTAAGACTCCCACGCACTAATTGCAGAAACAGCTGTTTTCTGTATCCTAGAAAAAATTATTTTGATTTTGGAAGTGAGATGAGATGTTTCCACCTGCACTAAGCAGCCACTGCCCTTCATGACCGAACAAAAAGATAAATTATTATATTATTAGACTACTGACACTGTTTCAACGACCCATTATGATGACCCGATATGCAGAGGTGCACCAACATATCGGTTGCTTGTCGGATCAGCACCGAGAAAAGGGAAGTTTACAGTATTGGTTATCGGCTTTTATAGTAGATACTATTCTCTGATAATGATGCCTTCTGGCTGGGGTCCCCAGAGGCCTGGGCTTCCTCTCGCCCACAGGGCTCCCGGTTCCCTCCCATGAGCCGGGGTGCCCTGGTTATACCCGCAACCCTCACCGGCGGGCTGGACCCGAGCAGCTGCGGCGCTGTCCCGAGGGCTGCGGGCTGGGGCGGGCGCTGTAAGAGGCACCGAATGCTGCAGACGTGACTGGGGCAGGCGGAGCGGAGCTGCCCGGCCCGGCCCAACGCAACTCAACCCGCGGTTAATATAGGTGGTTAATAATCGGATAGGTATCGGCCAAAAAAAATCTTTATCGGTGCCCCGCTACTAATATGTTGTATTAGGAGTGCATAACACCACGGGCCGTGCAAACCTTGCGAGTGGAAGTTGGAACAAGGTTCTTCCCAGAGGAGTGAAGTTTGGGAATGTGCATCTGAGCCAAGCAATGGAGCAAGAAGCCTGAGTCGCGTCCAGACAGAACTGGAGCAGCGCGTGGCAGGGACGGTCCGAGAGGACAGGGAGTCCTGGCTCAGGGTGCCAGGCAGGTGGGATCATGTGTCTGCAGACCCCCGGCTGGGGCGGAGAGCCAACTCTCCGCCATGCTTCACTGCTTGGGGCCAGCAAGGAATCGGTTGGTCTGAAATTTCAGAAGTTCCTGCTTTTGCTGCTAGAAAAACGCAGGGGTTTCCCCAGAGGGAGGCTCCGAGTTTCGTGCGAAGGCAGAGGCTTGCCCTGGCACCAGCTCCTGCTTTCTAGCCTGCTGCTCCCAGAAACTCTTGGCCCTCGGCTATAGCACTCTCCGTGGGAGGATTTCAGCTTGTGCCTTCCTGTGCAACACACTCGGGGAGTTACTTGCCCTCCCCTTTCTAGACAAGGGCATGACACGTTCTCCGGGGCAGAACCAGGACAAGAGTCCAGGACTTGGGCCTCAACCACAAGCCCGTCTACCCTTGCAAAGGAGTGTAACCCTACCCCCCACACTGCATTCAAATACCCCTGAGGGCACCGGGAGGGAGCTCAGGGGAAGGGAAGCATTGACTGTCATCTCATTTTGGAGCTCTTTGCTCCATAAACAGGAGTTCGCTCAGCAAGAACCAAGCGCTGTTTGGCTTGCGGTGCGACAATGCTGGACGCGCTCTCGTCCGAGGCAGAAGCTGCAGCTGTTCTGCTACGGATCTGCTGGCCAAGTGCGCAGACGGGCCAAACACAGAGTCCACCCTTACTGCATCCTGGAAGCTGTGGGCCTCTCTCATCAGCTCCCACAGCGGGCGCTCAGGTACGCTCATGTTGGGCGTGGGTAACGAGTGAATAATGAGTGAAGGAGTGCAAGGCCCCTTGAACTCGCTGTGCTGCACAAATGAGCTGCATCCTTCTAAGTCCTGGGGCTCTTTCCCAGGCTAGGACACCGTGCAACACGGAGCCGCACGATGCTCTGTGCGAGGACCCTCTTACCTCCGGAGACTCCCTCAGGATCAGTGGCCAGGACAGGTTTTCCTTGGCGAGGTCTTCCTTGCTTATCCTCTTGTTCCTATGGGCCGGTATTCTTAGATCGTCAGCATCTGTGCGAGGAACAGACCAAAGCAAGCTTGTTCTCAGCGAGTCCATCCTTTCAGAGCACGCTCCCTAACGGCGCTGCACAAATCAGTGCTGGTGCAGACAGGGAGGGAGAGCTCACCCAGGTGCCCAGGGCAGAAACTTTGCCCCGGTCTGCAGCACCCAACTCAGCTCTCCCTTCTGGAGTGCTCTGGACCAGGAGCGTTCAGAAATCCCAAGCCAGGCCTCGGCACATCGTGGGATTAACAGAGCCACAGATGTTGAGACTATGATCAATGCTGGCCTCTATTGCTCTCCTGGATCCTGAGCCTCTAAGGTGCAGCAACACAGCTCCTGCCTAGCATTCTGCCTACCCAGCACATGGTATGAGCCCATTTTACAGACAGAGCCACTGAGGCACAGAGGAAGGAAGTGGAAAGTGCTCCAGGACGCCAGCAGAGCCGCAGCTGCCCAAGTCCCAGGTTAGTAACCAACCCTCAGGGCATCGTGCCTCCCTCTTGGCCATGTTTTCCAGCTTTTTTTTCTCCCCAACAGATGCAACAGATAAAAGCAGTATTATTTCTTTTTAAATGAAAGCTCAGATTCCGGTCTAATCACATGAATCCAGGAGCTGGAGCTTTAGGAAACTACCAAGTATCAGACTCTTGGGGGGTCAGCAGCATTGCTGTGCACACGGATGCTCCCACTGGGCTGCTCACTCGGGTCCTGGCAGTTCAAGCAACTCAGGGGCAGGGCCCAACCCAGCACCTGGCTCAGGGGCCGCATGGCTTGCACTCTGCTGCTCAGGACTTTCACCGGCGGGCGATGCCGGGGCTGGATGGTGCCAGGTATGAAGCTGCAGGGCACCGGTGAAATACATCGCCAGCATCACCGCCTAGCACAAACCGCCCCGTCGCTCCTGTGTGCAGTGGGCCTAATCCTCCTGCTACAGCCCTTGCTGTTGGCAGAAACAGGACCGAGCGCGTTTGTTCCTCTGCGAGGGCAGCAGGATGCGCCCGCACCCCAGGCCGGCCATTTGGGGCGCCTTCAGTACCTGCACAGCCTGGGCAAGCCCCAGGAAGCCCACCACCCCGGTCCTGGCACGGGCTCCGGGGGCCAGCACTGCACGCACACCACCCCCAGGACGGTAGCGCACTCGCAGGGCGCGAGGGAGCGCGTGAGAGGAGACTGACCTTGAGCATCAGGCTTCCCGTTTGCTTCCAGAGCTGGGGGAGAAGCTTCGTCTTTGGTGGGGTTGGCGCAGCCTGCGCTGAGGAAGACCAGCTCGGCCCTGCAGTCCATCTCGTCGCTGGGAGGATTTTCCTTCTTCATGCTGGCCTGCGGAAGAGCAGATGGGAACGTGAGCCCTCCTGCATGGCCGGAGGGGTCATGGGCAGGCAAGCGGGCTGGGATGACTGCTAAATCCAGCCCAAACTCATCCTCCGTTTCACCATCTTCGCCAGATCAGACCCACCACTCCCCTACTGTGACACGTGCTAGGCCAGGGTTTTACACCCCATCCTGCTCAGATGGCACATGTCACGCGTGACCGCACCTCCTGCATTCGGCCCCATCCAGTACGATCCGAGTAAGGATCTCGCTTCACACAGCCAGTCATTCCCGATTTGTGCAGGGGCAGGAGAGAGGAGGATCCCCGCTGTAACGCACACCAGACGTGCTTAACCTGACCCAGCCACCTGCAGACAAAGTCTCTTTCTTGCCTCTTGACCAGACAGTTTCCTTTGCAAAAAAGGCCAGAGGGGTTGTCCCTGCAGCCTGGCACTGGCGGGGACAAAGCCAGCGGCAGGAGGACACTAGCAAAGTGTCCGGCCAGACAGTCACCGGGGCAAAGTCCTGCAGTCTGCAAACCTCCCTCCAAAGTCAAAAGGGGCTCGAGTGGAACAGAAGCAGAGCGAGCGGTGCAGGGGCCTGCCCGGGACATGGGCTTAGTCTAGTCCAGAACAAAGGGAAACAAGGTGCCAAGATGTTTCAGGGGCACCCACATCCACAGGGCATGCTCTGTACTGAGAGCTAGATAAAAACCCAGCTCACAGCCCCAGCAGCTGAGCCCCGCTGCAAGGGAGGCCCAGGAAACTGGAGGTCCCCATGCCAAGACAGGGGACCTCCCTATGTACTACTAGCCCGGCCCTCTCGGCGCCCTGGCACTGCACACCTGCCTGGACACCTGCATAATCACCTTCACATCCCTCCAGCCAGCTCCACCCCGCAGCTGCTGTAGCATTTGCATCGGGCTTTGTTAAGCCAGGTTGTAAATACTCCTATCTCTTGGCACCAACACCAAAAGCAACAGCTCAAGTGCTCCGCGCTGCATGCTGCATCTGTTTAACCACCCGGCAACGTTCCCCCTGGAGGCTGCAACCTGCTTGCAGGAGAACCAAGACCAGAGTCACTGGGAGCTTCTTGGGCAAGAGGCTTTGGAGGCAGAATGAGCCCAAAGCAAGAAAATACAAACCAGAGAGGGATAGCAACACGCTGCTCCAGCAGCTCATGGGCACTGCCTTGTTTCCAGATGTTGGTGCACGGAGATTTAAATACTTGGCTTATAGAGAAGCTTCAGCCAGGACAACGGAGCACCTGCCCTACCCATCATCATCACACGTGTGCAGCAAACCAGCGGCCCACCTCTGCCAGGGGTGAATTTGCTGGATGGGAAATGAGTCCAGGGAGAAGCAGCAGCCCCTCACCTTGTCCTGACCAGCAACCCCCCCACCCCAGGAGTGCGCAGCGCCAGTGGAAGCAGAAGCCTGGCCCTGCTCCACCCAGCGAAATCAGAAAGCCTTAGGTGATGGAGCCCAGCACCCGGCCCAGATTACCAGGAACCTGCCCTGCGCCTGCTGAAGTCAACGTAGCTTTGATGTTTCACTGGCTGCAGCCACGAAGAATAGAAAAGGTGGGAGAGAGAGAGGGAGACCGACCGGATCTCACAGGCACCACCCGACCCGTTACCCATTTACAGATCCTAACGTCTTTAGGGACTGGGGGTGCAGGACCGGCCGAGGGGGAAGGTCAGCCTCGGGGGTCTAGAGCCTAGGAGAAGACTCCCAGGTTTTTTTGGCCTTCTCTTTTTCCTCCTCCCCTCCCATCCCATCCCTGCCCTCTCTCAAAGGCCTCTGCATTTTGTGCAAAAAAACAACCAAGGTTTCTGCTTTCTGAGCTCCTGTCACCTCATCCAACAAACTCGCCTGGCCCAAAACCTCAGGGATCCAGCCCCCACCCCGTCTCTGCCAAGCGCCCATTCGCCTCCTTTGCTCTGGAGCACAGCCACCTCTGAACAAAGGGATGAGAGGGAAAGTCTCTGCTCCGTAAGGCCCTACAGCAGGTTTGTGAACGTCTCCCCATCCAGCACATCTGCTCCAGACCAAAGGAACAATTACCAGGAGCTGCCCAGACTCGCTCCACTCCTTGCTAATCACAGGCCGCCGGGTGGGAAGGCCTGCTGGCTGCCATCACCAGCAGCTCGGGGGGAGGTATTTTCTCCCCGGAGATGTCTCTCACGGAAGCTGGGCCGAACAGACAGGCAGGCACCCTCCCAGAGGTCAGGTCCTGCCCCCAGAGACCCCACGGTCCCCCGACAGGCTTCAGACTCCTGCCGCGTGAGATGGCAGAAGAGGGGCTGCAGCTTACAACAGACTGCAAAGGAAACAGGAGCCGGCAACGCAATGCAAGGCAAGGCAATGCTGCATGAGAGAGGCACATCTCATCCCAGGCCGCATCGCAGGAGGAATGTAGTCTGCTCTCCTCGGCTCTGGGGAGGCTTTCGTGGAAGGGCAGCGTCCACTTTTGGGCCCCGCACTGCAAGCTGGAGAGTCCAGAAGGGAGGTCCGGGAATGAGAGGAGGTTTGGGAAGTACGATCTGGGGGGGAAAGTTGAAGGAGCTGGGTGTGTTTAGTCTGGAAAAGGGGGGGGATGCGGGAGGGTGCAATACCAGCTGTGTAGTACCAGCCGTGTAGCATGTAACTAGCTGTTAAAAAGTAGATGAGGATCGATTATCCTCCACAGCCGCTGCGGGGAATGATGAGAAATCAGCTGAACTGGCTTCAAAGAAGGCGGCTTAGGAGAGGCACTAGGGAAACTTCCTAACTGCAAGGGCAGAGAAATCCTGGACCAGGCTGCCCCAGGATGTTGAAATCTCATGCACTGGAGACTTTAAAGGAAAGGTTAATCAAGCCTCTGCTGGGGTGGTGCAGGCACCGGACCCTGCCTCCGTGCATACGCCTGGACCAGGCAATCGGCCCAGGTCCCTTCACCCTGCTGGGGTTGTCACTAGGTGCGGGCCAGACCCCATCTCCAAGCCGCTGCTACAAGAGGAGTCCCAGAGCTGCACAGCCCTGAGCTCAGGGAGCCTCCCAACATCTGCACCCAGAGCTGGGTGTCACCTCCTGGGCCCATCAGAGACTGTTACTGCTACATGTCTTGAGCGGGCAGCCAGCGTCACGTCACTCCCACGTCACGCCAGCCCCTGGGGCTGCTGAGCCTCAGTGCAGCCACTGCCGCTCACTACTGAGCCCTGAACCCTGCAGGCCTCCAGGCCAGGCTGCTTCTAGCCCGAAGCTGTAAAATGCCACAGCGTTTTGGAGAGGGCCATTGCCAGCATCCCAGTGCCCCGCTTCTGCTTCCCCAGCTGCACAGCTCCCTGAGCTGCCTTGTTTCTTCTGCATGCTCCTAAGAGCCAAAAAGCAGCAACTCTGGCAAGAAACGCACCCCTGGGGTTTCAGGGCTGAGTTTTCAAAGCACAGGAATTCGTGCATCGGGAATCAGATGCGGCTTTGCTGCAGGCACCCCCATACTGCCCTTGGGGGGGGCATCTGGGGATACCCGCAGTGCCATCTGCTGCCATTACAGCCCTAGTCAAGCAACCCAACAGCGTGAAGCCAATTCAGCCATGAGGATCTCACCAGCCTGTCCACAGTGACCCGGGCATTTCACAACGACCAGCTGCCTTGGAAAAGCTGGAGGTGACACACAACACAACAGCCCTCCTGCTTATCACCACAGCTGCCCCAGCCCATTGCCCCCATGCCCTGCCCTCCCCACTGAGCACAACCTGCAGAGCCATGGACCATCACAAGCTGTCACCTTCCACGCCAAGCGCCAGGCACATCCCAGGCCCCCCAACCTCCTCCAGAGACACGCAGCAACACGCGTGCAAACCACCCTGAGACAAAACCATGCCCTGAAACACTTCTCTTCCTGGAGAGAAGGGGAAGAGAACTCACGATAGATGCGCATTACCAGCAGGTGCTCGGGCACTGCAGGGACACGCGTGGTAGAAGAGCCAGGAGAGAAGGGAGCAGCTCGAGGCTTCAGTCCTGCTATTTAAAGCTTCCAAGGGACCAGCACTCGCTGCTTCCTGAAACACCTCTGGCTCTGCAACATCCCAAGCAAGGGCTGTGTCCCAAGACAGCAGCGCTGGCGGGTTCGGACCCAGACCCAGTCTTGCAGCTCCTGCTGTGCCATGAACACAGTGCACAGATGCAGCCAGGTCTGGGGGGCAGGGAGAGCCGCAGGGGCTTCCCCAGGAAACACCATTTCCTCCCTTGCCTCTGCCTTCCTCCCTGCAGCCCCTGCTGGGCACTGCCGACGACTGCAGCTCCGCGCTGGTTCTGGGCTAGTTTCGGTTTTCCTACCCCAGGAAGCAGCATTCAATTAGGCTCCTCAGGTGCCTTTCCCCTCTGGGTGCAGAGGCTGCAGCAGCAGCTCAGCCGGTGCCTGCAGACACTGCCAAGGGGAAGCCAAAAGGCCCCGGGCAGGGAGGTCTTTGGCAGGATGGCTCCATCTCCTCCGCTCCGTTTGAATAACAAAAAAGGGGCCCAATGACTGTGTGCAGACCCTTCCAGAGCCAGGCCTGAGCCATCTCCTCACAAACAGCCTGGAACGGGGCATTTCCTGCTAATCCTGGAGAGAAAAGAGGTGCATAAGAAAGGGAACCTTCGGCTCATTAAAGCCCCCTCCTGGCCCTGCTCACCTGCTCCTGACCTCACCTGTGCCACCAGCTCCCTCTCCTCCCACAACCACAGCCTGGGGCTCCCCCCACCCAGGTGTCCCACCCCTTCCCCTCCCCTCTCTTTTTTGGCCCCGTTCATCCTTTGCCTTGATGCATCAGGGTGCATTAGACCTACTGCTGTCCACACTGGGATTGCTCCAGGTTCGCCAGCACTCGTGGATGGGGAGGACACCTTTTCTCCTGGAGACAGCCAGGCCCAGACTCATCCTGGCACCTATGCCCGGGCCAGGCACTAGCCCAGCCCCTTCGGCTGTGCTCACTGCTGTAGCATGTGCACACCTGCCTTGTGTGGCTTGTGACTTCCCTCCGGGAAACCCCAGCACCCAGAAGGGATGAGACAGACCCCTCCTGGCCCCGGGAGCGGTTCCTGCAGGCGGGCGCCATGGCCCCAGCCCAGGGGGGCAGGGGGAGCAGGGCACTGCCACGGTTCATCTTCGCTTCCTTTGCGAGGTTTCTTTTCCCAGCCCCCGGGCACCTTGCCCGGTGCCGACGGGTCCGGTGCACCAGCACCGAGGGAAAGACAGCCCATGCTCGCAGCCGGGCGTCAGCTCTCCTGCCCTGCATCCACACTGCCACGGCAAGGAGAGTAAGGCCCCGCTGGCCGGTGCAGGGACCCTTTGTCTCTCTCCAGCCCCCTGCTACCCACATTTCCACCCTCGCTTCTGCTGCAACAGCTTAACAAGTGAACACAAGCTCTGCGCTGGCCCCGGGGGCCGCCCCTCTCCTCTCCTCTCCTCTCCTCCGGGACCAAGTCAACCGCTGCCAGGCAGACCCCAGATTGATCTCTGCTCGGCAGACCCGACCTCTCCCCTCCTGGCCCCACAGGGCCTTCCGCTCGTGGCCTTTGGGAGCCGGGGCCGAGCGCGCAGGGATGCTCCCCGGAGGCTCCTCGGCCCTGGCGAAGCCCCTCGCCGCCCTCCCGCGCACTTCTGTGCAAAACAACCGGGGAGACTGCCAGAGGAGCGGCACCCAGGGCTGCTCGCACCGCACCGCACCGCACCGCACGGCCGGGCCCGCACGAGCCCCCG